ATTTCAGTACAGTGTTTTTAACACTTTAGCAAAAGACAGGAAAGTACAATTTTCACACAAAATAAAGCAAAAATAAAAAGTTGTGTAAGAATCCCTGGATGTTCTTCATGGAGTGCTTTCAGCTGGGTGCTGTCTCTGGTCAGGTTGATGCCGATGCAGTTATATGAAGGAGGAATAAGGCAGCATGTGGTTATGGGTGGGGGTAAAAGCCCACTTTCTGTTGCTCTGGATGGAATTGGTGTTTGGCTCTAGGAGAAGCCCATGGGTTAGTGCTGGATGCAGAAGCTTTAGACCTCTGAGTGAGAAAGGGAGTAAGACTGCCATTAACAGCCTTTCTGCTTGAGAGTGCAGAAATCTGAGAGTTTCATGAAAAAGGCATGACCTCCTTTAAAGTCCAAGGAAAAGTTGGTAATAATCTAAAAGATCCTGACCTCTATTTAGATCTGCATCAAATGGAATATGGAAGAGACCATGGTGCAGAGGTGTGAAGATTGACATACTGTGCAACAATCTGTAGAGATCAAATCATTCAGGTGGGAAGGGACCCCAGGAGGTCTCTACTTCAACCAGCTGCTCATGGTTGAGTCAGCTTTGAGGCTAGTTCATGTTGCTCAGAGCTTTATCTGGTTGGTCTTGGAAAACCCTAAGGACTGAGACCAGGCAGCCTGTACCACTGCTTGCCTGCCCTCATGGGGGGTGAAAAAAAGTCTTAATATCCAGTCAGAATATTCTTTCAGTTTATGTCTGTTGTCTTTCCTAAATACTAGTACATGTCTCAGAAGCAGTGGCTCGTTACTTTAGGTGCAATATTATGCTGATGTTGAGGCACTGTTGCAGGTCCCCAGAGCATGCTTTGTAATAGTGCTGCTGCCTCAACTGTCTCTTCTGATGTACAGAAGTGCTGTAGTTACGCATGTTCCCATGGTAAAGAGTGACTAAGCTATGCAAAAACTAAGTTTGAAATTACAGGTCTGAAGTTATATATATTGACAGAATTGTCGATATGTTTATCTAAAGAAAGTTGAATATAAGCTGCCCATCCCAAAAGGAATAATTAGGAATCCCATTTTTGGAGGTGTCATTATTATTGGATAAATTTCTGTGACTCAACTTCTATGATTACAGCTTTTCAGAGTGAAGAATGACTACCCAGTTCTCTCATGGGCCATATTATAGCTGTATCACATTCCTACTCAAAATTACTGTCAAGATGTATGGCTTTGCAGTTACTTACTTGCTGTAACTCCCTGAAAGATGGTTTTGAAGTCACTGGTCTTTGGTGTTTAGGCCAAGACTGCTAGTAAATGTGTTCAGTGTCTGTGTGAGTGCTGTAGACTGGCATAACTTGTTTTGTTCTGCTGAGAAACTTTTAGCACTGGGCATCCTTTTGGCTTGCTTTTATGGTCACCTTGAGGAAAGACTAAGAAAAGTTTTTCATAGGTCTTCATGTGTTAATTAACAAAGGTCAGTAGATTTTAAAGACAATTAAATATGTAGTGTGAAGTTCTGTTTTGAGACCAGAACCTCTTTGGCTTAGTTGAGAGATTTATTTTACATTCTAAGATTGTAGTGCTCACAGAGCTCACAAATGTAGAAGATGTAACAGTCTTGTTTGAAACTATCTTTGCCTGGTAATTGAGTGATAACTGTAATTGTTCTTGATAATGTGTTTCAGTGTTTATGGGATTATTTTAAATTGGGATTGGTCAAAAAAGTATGCCTTCTGGAAGGGAAAAGTAAGAGATATAGTTGAAGGCTGAAAGAAGTTAGGAATGTCCTAGGTTAGGATCAGGGAGTAGCAGTAAGACTTGGCATGGATGAAGTGAGAGCATCAGGAGTTTTGGAAGGGAACTGTGTGGAAAGGTGAGTATTAGTCTGATTTCTCGGGTGCTCTTGCTAGTCTGTGTATGGAACAAATCAGATGGGGCTAATTATAGTAAAATTATAGCTATGAAAGTGAAAGGCATTTTGGATTGTACACAAAATACACCTGAAATATGTTGACAAAGATGTATCTCTTCATCTGCTTTAGGAGAAGAGGAGGATACCACCTGCATGACAAACTAGCTAAAGTCGGGTAGGCAAGTTTTGTGCTAAAAAAGCAAGTCTAATACCTGATTAATATATACCACCTTAGTTAAGAACTAAGGAGTCCCAGAAGGTATTGATATGAAATTCTTCAACTATTTGTCATAATACAGTGATAAAGAACAAGAACTTCGGGGTGGTAAAACTAAGTGCAATAGCCTCCAGACAAAGGTGTTCAAAAGTACACCATAAGATTGAATGTTCACAAGATAAAATAATCTTGCCCTGAAGATTTGGTCATTCAGTTTAAGTTCTAGAATTGGCTGGTTAAGAGTAGTAGTTCTTAACTAAAATTTAAATAAAATACAAAAAGTCTAGTAAAATGTGCAGATAACTTTTGAGATGTATCACTGTTAACTGAGAAAAGAAGGAACCATAAACTTACCATCCTCAAGCAAAATACACAGCAGGGTGAAAAATGCTGTGACGAATGGCATGGATTGTGGATAATAGTGGAGGAGAAGAAAAAAAAAAAGTACCATTATTAATGTAGTTTTGTGGAAAATAGGTGTTTGTCCCAAGAAGGGAGGCTTTTGATGGTTTCCTATTATTGACATAGTACTAGCATGTGAAAAACTTCTTTATGATACTTCTGGGTTTTGGCTGTAAATATAATCAGTGCAGTCAGTATTAAATTAATAGATTTTAAAAGGAATAAGGAAGAATAATTAGTTTTCCTTTGGACATTTGTAGTACATTCATACTGGGATGTGGGGTTTTTTTAGCCCTGATACTGTATGTGTTGCTTGATAGAACTTGCAGGTGTTATAAATTGAATGATAAATAATTCTTAGTGCAATTCTAATGTTTGAATTGCTTAGCAAATCTGATAAAGCCAGGAAGACAGACAGACTTGTGCTTCCAGTATAAGGTGGTATCTTGAATTGCTGGCATATTTAGGGTTGTAGTGGTAAACAGTTTAATCTCTAAAGAGCAATGATATAACTAAGAGGGTGGCTGCTTTCTCAGGTGCAGAAAGCACCTCAGTAGCAGAATATTTAGTATGACTAGTAGTGACTAAAAGTAACACAAGGCTTGAAAATGTCTTACAATAGCAAACTAAATATCAGTATTTGTCTTTCTCTTTAATGTTTTCTGAAACAATCTCACACTTTCTTTTGACACAGCTGGAGTTGTACAAACTCTGCACTCATCTAAACGTAGACAGTGGAAGAAGAGCCAAATACAAATGAGTAAATCTGGCAATGGACAAGAATGCATCCTAAATCTATCAATTTTATTTTCCCTGATGAAAGGGATGTTACTTTTTGCTACACTGTAGAGCCTGATTCAATTTGATTACTTGTTCAGATTGTTAAGGAATGAGAAATATAGAAGCAGTCCTGCTTAGTTCTTAAAAGCACATATATACTACAATCAAATTCTTGCTAGGTTTGTGGCCAGGCAAGATAAGGGAACAAGCTACAAGCACTTCCTTAGGGATAACAGGAAGGGAAAAAGAGTCTGAGTCAGGTCTGCATAGTAAGAAATGCTTCAAATTAAAATATAGCACTTTACTAAAATACTGTAGTGACAATATTTATGATCTTTATTTCTTATTATTTTAATGTGTTTTTTCTCTTATAGATAAAGTCTGGGGAAAAATTGAAATAGTATTGATAATATCTTTGCAATGATATTTAAAATTTAAAAATTTCAGTTCTTCAGATAACCAGCATGCACTTCCAGTGGGACTGGCTGTGCTTGAGTGTCCTGATAATTAGCTCAGTGACTGCAGAAATTGAAAATGAAGAAACTCTGGATGCAGATGTCAAAGTGGAGGATTTTGACAAGCAGTCTCAAGAAGCTGATGTTGACAGAGAGAAATCTTCCTTAGAGGTAAGATTACAGAAGTTTTTAGTTAAAGCTTGTTTAATTATAAGATGCATAGTTATAACTAGTAAAGAAATTGGTGGACAAACAGATTTAAAAAAGAGCAGGTTCACACACAGTTGACAGCTGCCATACATGCAGGACAAGCTTAATGCAATGCTCTGCTGAAGTGTAACACCAGATCTCCTGCCTGTGGTGGATAGTCATGAAGAGGGTTTTGCTAGCCTGTGTTTCAGAGCACATCCAGAACCTTTTATTGCAAGTCCTAACATGCCGTTTCTACAGAAGAGAGCAGAGAATTTCTTTTCTGTCTTTTAGGTTGTGTACCACACTCCAAAGCCAACTGGAGAAGTGTATTTTACAGAAACCTTTGATGGAGTATTGACTGGGTAAGTTTGTGCCGTAAAATTATAAACTTTTACTTTCAGCAGTTTAATTTATAGTGGCAGGACTTATTTTGTATTCATTTTTTTGCTAGTATCTTTATAAAATTAATTTTTACAGGGGTTAGAATTGGGAAGGCTGGTAATGGTTGCTCCAAGTACATCATAATGTTAAGCTGGACAGTTAACATTTCAGGTATGTTGCTATTTCTTGTGTTTTAAGGAAGCTTTCAATAAACTCTGGGTTCATGTACATTAAGAAAAATGATATAATTTAAAGATTTAGCCAGTTGACTTTAGCTAGCTGTAAGGTGAAGTGCATAGCCGTTACACTGCAATAGCAAACTCTTTCTTCCTCTTCACATGCACTTAGGTATGTGTAAGGCAGCAATGCCTTCAGTATTATAGATAAATCCTCTATTGGGGAAGGCTTTTTTAGCAGATTTTTTTTTAATTAATTTATTGTATTGCTTCCCATACTCAAGAAGAATTAGATATTTATGAGATTACTGAAGTGTTCCTCGGCAGTTTGACCTTACTGCATTGAAATTTTAGAAAAATCTTCAGGTTTATCTCAACAACTCTTCAGCCAGAAATTTGTGTCTTGTCTGTATCTGTTTTCTTCCAACAGTATGGCAGTGTAAGATGTAACTGCTGCTGGGTGATTAGTGTTGCTCAATGAAAAGCTGTGCATTGTGAGCTATAGTCAGTTGCCACCAATGTGCTGTCAATAAGAGTGAATATAATCTATTACTTTCTATTTCTGGAGTAGACTTACTATTTTTAGTTGGAAAACAACTTGGCTTTTAGTCCTCTTTCTGGCTCAGATGTAAAGAGTGTAGAATATTAAGGAAAAAAAAAAATAGTACCATAGAATCATAGGATGGTTTGGGTTGGAAGCGACCTCAAAGATCATCTAGTTCCAACCATGTAAATGTGGTATCATGAAAAAAGGTGTTTTCATACATTATAAAATTGATGGAAGAAAAACTAACACTCTTGGCTCTGAAGAGCCAGAGAGAGGTGAAACGAGATGTAATGTGATACATTCATTATGGTAGTACTTCCTGTGACAAGACTGAGACCCAGCTACTGTGTGAGTGAGGTTATACCATCATAAGACATGTATGTTTGTTGACAATGCACAATTTAAACTGTAAACAAAATAACATGGTAGCAGGCACCAGTAACTTTTGTAAGATTGAATATTACTCCATTTTTCCGATTGTTTCTAAACTGATCTTTTGTTCAGTGGCCTGATGTTCCCTGTAACTCTGCACTAGTCTGTCATTACTCGTATTATATTCTTTCATATTTTCTTATTTTTGTTACATATTTAGACCAAATGTAGAAGGAAAATAAGTTAACAAGTTCCCATCTTCAGTGTATCACTTGTCTTAATGATATGTCACTTCAAAATGTTAAGTGCAATACAAAAGCAGTATCGATGATGACAGAAAAATGATTAAATAGAAGAGGTGATAATAGTTGTTAACAAAAAAAAAAACAAACCAAAACTGAAAACCTTGATTAACAAATGCAAAAACTTAACAGGGATACTGGAATGTTATAATTCATCCCAGTTTCTAGCTTCGTGAGATCTGTTCAAAGATTAGTTTGTCTTCCTACTAATTCTGATATTCAAAGCTTTAGCTCCAGTGCTTGGGATTTTTTGATCTAGCTGTACATAATTTACGTAAGAAGAGTAAGTATGGAACTAAGACGTATGAGAGAGTAAACAGCATGTTGCCTTTCTTACTGAAAATGGGGGAGAAAAGTACGTATAAATTGACTAGGTAAATCGCCAGAACAGAGTATCTGTTTTGAGAATGGGCCTTGAAGAATTTTCTGCATGACTTTAAGATGTTTTATTTCATCCTTGGTCTTTCTCCTGATAGACCAAGGATCTAGTCTGCCATTTATAGTGTGAACCTGTTCCATCATCTCTGTTAACAGTGAACAAATCTGACTGAAATTCAAGCAGAAAAGATACTCATCCCTGAAATACTCCATGCAGAGGATAGTTCTTTACAGAATTAATTATGAGAATGTAGTATTGTAGTTGATACAATGAAGAGTTCAGCGATGCTGTTGGCTTAAGATATTCCTGTGCATGGTTCAGGATAGAACCACTGTATGACCAGATGAGGGTGGATGGCCATTTTTTGCTTATTTTTCTTTTTTTTTCCCCCTATCCTCCAAATGAACACTTTGTGTGTCAAGTACGTGCATATCTTTTCGGTAACATCAGTTTGATAAGCTGAGTTTGCCTTGTTCATAGTATCACGGAGATTGAGAGTTTGTTTGCCCTGTTGGGATCCCTTATGTGCAATACATTTGGAATCTCTTCAGTGCATAATTGCATTTATCGTTTGGACACTTTTACCTCTTCCTTTCATCCTCTGCTATGCATGTGTACTGTTAGGTAGTGCGAAGGTTTCTTTAGGTGATTTTTTTTTTCTTTCATTATCATATTGCACCTTGCTATTTTCCATGTATTTTTGACATTATATGCTTATGTAATATTCCTACATTATGCCAAACTCAACTTGTATATAAAACTGAAATTTATTCAGAATAATTGAGTTACTTTAGAGTTATAATTGTATATTCATTTACATTCTTAGGAAGTATTTTGAAATGCTATATTGTTGTAGTCTGTTTTAATTTTTCTTTTCATGTTCTTTGAACTACTCAAAGATCTATGATGCTGACTGCCAAAATCATTATTGCAGGTTCACACCCTAGAAGCGAAAGCTGGTTTTCCTGTGCTTGTTAAATAATACAACTTTGCATAAATAGTTCAATGACTAGTACGCTTTCTGTTTTAGGTGGATGTTGTCTAAAACCAAGAAAGAAGACGCAGATGATGACATTGCTAAATATGATGGTAAGCAGTTTTAATGCTTACTTCCACTGTGTAGCTTCTGTTGTTCTGTTCCTCTTCACGAAATAACAACCCCTTATACTGAACTTGGCTTTGAAAACCTAGATGGCATAGGTCAAAAATGTTAGTTTGTGTAATGACTGTTATCCTGAAACTGAGATGTGAAATGTTGTTTGTTGGGTTACTTAGCGTGAAGATAATATTTTTGTCTTCCCAACAGTCTATTGTAATGAATGATACTAGAATACCCTCTGGCATCTGAATATTCAGTATTGATTGTGATAGTTCTCAAGAAGCACTATTCATAAACAGTCTTCTCTGAAATCGTGTCACAGAGATTTACCACTTAAATTTCAGTTGTTAAACAAGTTTCTAAAGCAGCATGTTCCATGTTGCTGCGTCTGTCCTACTGATTCATGGGTTGGTCTCCCAGTCTAGCCTCTGAAACAAAAAAGTTAAACTGAATGAGGTTTTTCTTTAAAATACTTTTTTCAGGTTCTCTGTACTTGAATGTAGGATTCTCCAGTGGTTCTTGTGGAGTTTATTCTTACAGTGGTCTAAAAAAACTGGGAAAGTAATAATGAAAAAGTTGTTTTGATAGGTTTTTATTATTGGGGTTTGCACTTATAAATTACTAGGCTAGAATTGCTTGCTTGAATGTAATTTTAAACCGTTTGACAGATGTGTGATCTGTGGCAAAAATTTTGCAACCTGAATTTTTTTCATTCAAGAGAAAGTGGGAAGAACAGAAGAAGTTTGTGCTGCAAAAGAAAAGTATTTTGCTACTGCTCTTATGTCAAATGAAATCAATTAGTGTTAATAGAAAGTGGTAAGCAGATGTAATTTGTAGGACTTTGGTGTGCAAAACAGTACAGAACAGATGTTTTTAGGTTTAGCAGTTGCCAGAAATAACTGGTAAAAATAAAGAAGTTGCAGAGGAGATATCCATACAGATGAAATGCTTATAAGAACTGACATCTCTCTGATTACTTGACCTCGTATTAGATAGAAATTGTCTCTAATGTCAAAACAGTCGTATTTGTTTAAAGTCACTCAGACAATTAAACATTAAGTCTGTGGTGAAGAGACTTGTTTGAACTATTTTCCAATTAATTTTTTTTGGTCTTGTTGTTTTGCCTGGCATTGTCTTAGTTTCCAGGAAGGAACACTATTGAAGAGGAGGGAATTTTCCTCCCTCCTGTTCAGCAGACTAGAAGAAACTAGGGAATTGTTGTTGACATACATATCTGTCCTTCCTTAATGACCTTTCACAAATTGCACTTCAGTTGAATAAAAGTAAATAGCTGTTTTGTTTGGATTTCACAGTTTATGAATCTTCTGTGAGACACGTTTTGAAGAACTCATTATGTTTTCTTTCTTCATGTTGACACAGGCTTTTTTCAATATTACACTGAATTGTAAAAGTCATCTTCTGTGCTGTTTTAATTTCTGGAAAAAAAATCGGTGAATCTTGTGCTGTTAATATCTGAGAAAATAGAACTGCCCCTTTAGAAATCTAGTTCTTTAAATATTGCCCACATGTGTAATCAACTGTATTTTTCCTCAAACTTGGAGAATTTATAATTATATAATCCTTTATTTTTAAAGCTCTAGGATTGTTTGTCTTTAAGATCAAATCTGATAATTCTTGAAAATATTTTGAAGGGAGGGAAGCTTCATCTCCCATATGATTGGATTTGACCTGAAAGATTCTATTTCTGTATAAACAGGAGGGGAAGAACCACGCAGGTATCTAGCTGGCACAAAGCCTTGTGGCTAATGCTTTTTATGTGACGGTGGTGGGAATAAATTTAAAATCTGGAGAAATAATCTAGACTAGCATTATCTTAATTGGCTAGAACTAATACCTTTTTGGTGAAATGGGACAGTGGGTTTTCTGCATAGAGCTATGCATTCCTAACGTGTGGGCATCTCTTTAATTATCTGCTAATTTCTTAAGGCTGAAATGGATTTTTACAATAAAACTCATTAAATATGAACCAGAGCTTTGAAACGGTCTCTAGGTTAGCAATACAAGCATTAGACTTGAATAAATGACATCTAAAATATATTGATTCTTTCATACAATATTGCAATTAAACAGAAATCCAGTGGATATTCACACGTTACAGATTTGTGCAATAAACAATTAAATTTTGTGATGTAAAAACATTTTATGTTAAATGTGTATGTTTTTCTATTAAATTTAATTGGGTTATGGTAAGGATGCGGTTCTTTCCTACTTTGGAGTCCGTGACTGGCTGCTCTTTTAGTTGGAAAATTCTGTTTCTCACATAAAGCTGAGATTATGATAACTTTATTTCTTTTGGCTGTAACAGTTATGAAACTGGGATTTTTACTGCTGTAGAAACAGTTACTTGGGGAAAGAAAAAAGAAAAAGCTTGTCACTTCTTGTTGTTAAAATTACTTGTACTCTTTTTCCCTAAGTTTCCTTTCCTCCTTGTGGTCTGAACCAGAACACTGGGTTCAATGAGTCTTTGGCATGACACAGTTTTTATTTTATCATCTAACTGTTGAGCTGGAATTCTAATGTTTTCTAATTCTGGAAAAGTGCTGGTTAAAACATTCTGTCACTGATTTGATAGAAGGATGTGAGCAGCAAATTTGTGTACTGTGAATGTTTTTGGTTTTTTTATTTGAGTGCTGTAGAGTAATTAGTTTGGAGAATTGCAAGTTGGACTTGAGTAATGTTCTGTATCCATGGTAGAATTACCAGTAATGAATTGGATGACTATTGCTTTAACTTCTTTGACATCAGATGTCAAGACTTATTCCGTACTTGGACAACTAGTCTTTATTTGGTGTTAACCCTTTGCTTTCAACAAGGCCATGATTTCTTTACTTCAGCCTACATTTTTTTCAAAGACTCTGTGTGTGTATGTTCTAGGAAGATGGGAAGTAGAAGAGCTGAAAGAAAACACAGTGCCTGGAGACAGAGGATTAGTGTTAAAATCGGTGGCAAAGCATCATGCAATATCAGCTATGCTAACAAAGGCATTTATTTTCGATAATAAACCTTTGATTGTTCAGTAAGTAATCCCTCAGATTTTTTACTTAATATTTATTATTATTAAAATCTTTAAATCAAGAAACTGATGTGAATCCCTGTAGAAAAATACTGACTTCCATAGAGCACTGACCTATCATATCCAGAGTTATCAGAACTATGAATGATATCAGCAGTATGAATGATTTAATAATCAAGTAAGATTGTAGTGCAGGTGTTAAGAAGTGATATTTAAACTCTTTTGAAATATTTTCGGACAGAAATCTAATATTTTACAAAATTGTTGAAAAGGCAAATTAATTTTTGGTCTTACTGTAAAAGATCTAAATCATATGTAGTTCAGGTACAGCATTTTCTATTTACAGAATACTGCATAGCTCCGTAAAAGCAACTAGTATCTTGAACGCATTATAGCACTTAGTGATGATGAGCACCATGGCAATAGGACTACTGTTTTCTGATATTCAGACTTGCTTTGTTGTACTTACAGACATATCCAGATAACTGCTCTGCCTATGTTCATTGGGTCATATGGGCAATTTCAAAGATGGCACAAACTTTCTAGAACCCTTGACCATTTCTATTTCACTTTGAGGTTTGCGTGTTGGTTGATACCACCTGGAAACCATTCTTTACTGGTGATACCAACTGTAGCAATTGCTACCGTGATGTGTTTTGACTGACATCGCTGCTGTATTAGCTAGTGTGGCAATTAAAACCTTTTGGTCATGTAGAAGTGTTTTGACAGTAGTGACTAATAGACAGTCTTAATGTATTCATAATTAGAACTGCAGATTAGAAGTCAATATCTATTTGTCTGATACTTGGAATGGTTTTTTTAACTTGTTCTTTGCCCAGATATGAAGTGAATTTTCAAGAAGGCATTGACTGTGGTGGTGCATATATTAAACTTCTCTCCAGTAGTGATGACCTGAATCTGGTAGGTGCTCTTACTTAACATTTGCTATCAGTTGTTCGTTTGAGGAATGCATAATTGTTCTTGTGAAATGTCAATAAGAAATTAATTCCTAATGCTTTCTAAATTCCTAAAAGCTTCCCAAATGCTTAAGCAGAAGATTGGGTAAGATAATATACATATAACTTATTATATATACACAAAACCTTAGGAGTTGTGCATTTTTACTGGTGGAATATTTGATATGTTGTTCTTGTTATAATTTCCATTTATTTTAACAAAACTTGTAGGTAGTCTAAAACTTAAAGTAAGCTGTTAAGATCTATATCCACACAAGAAATCTCTCAATGTGAATTTCGGAAGGTTAGAATGAAGAGTTTGCTGTGTTTAACATACTCTTAGTTCTGCGTGAGTGATGTCTTATATCCAGGACGAAGCACTTTTGTATCTATTTGTCTGACTTTCTGCAATAATAGAAGCCATAGAATCTCAACTTGTAACTTGTGAAGCAGTTGAGGTATTTTTACTGCATGGCATCTTAGGGCCACAACTTGGATTTAGAAACTGAAAGTGGTGGAGAATCTCTGTTCGCAGGAAAAGGTCTGAATGATCAGGTATGAAAAATTAAGTGCCTTAGTCTGTTGGATCACTTTGTAGGTTGTTTCTCAATATATTGACGTGAACTTGCCTGCCCTTTCCAAACTTGTCTGTAAAACTATTACTATGCCGACGCAATCACATGTGCAGATGGGAGGTGGTGCTTTTAGCAGCAGTTACAGAATAGGACTGTGCATTTGGACAGACTTGGAATGACCATGGTGGATTCAAAATGTTACATCATGAGCTATGAGGAACTTGTGTTGACTCAGCAGTACAAACATGAAGCAATAAGGGTACTTCCAATCCTGAAGCAGGTTGCTGTGGCCACTTAAAGTCTGACTACCCTAGCTGTTACAGGTTTGTGGCTAATTGGTGTTGTTGAGCCAATGTTCAGTAGTATAGGGACAGAAATTTGTGAGACAATCAGAGTTACAACCTGTATAGGCTATAGAAGTTGTTGGGTTTGAGATGCATCAGGCTATAGGAGTTGCTCACCAAGATTTGGTAAACTAGAAAGGCAAGCTCATGGAAAAAACAGGGAATAGTCTAGAAAAAAACTCGTAACAGGAATGTGGGCAGAATCATTGTTTCTTCTCTGGGTAAAATTTTTTTTATCCGTGCTTTCATCCCCGAGACATCTCTGCCTACTGCTGCTGCCTTGACCTGTGAGGCCATAACCTTGACTTTCAAGTACTGAGAACAGCACTGAAGTGTGATGCCCTGTGTATGTGCAAAATGAAGACAAGATTGCTCAGGGCGGGCTCAAGACATTGCTTGACCTGACCTGCAAACCAGAGTCAGGAAGAGCTGCTTAACAGTGGGACCCTTCATGAGAGATAAGGGATAATGCGTACCTCTGCAGGAGTCTAGGAGATGGCAACAGGCATAAGAAGTTACTTGTAAGCATTTCTAAGATATATTAATAAAAGCTTTAGTGCAACTTCCTAGTAGTGCTCTTCCTTTTTCCTAAAATTTATATGCCATTGTGTGTTTTGTGCTCAAGTAACTTGAGTACTAATAGATAAGTATTAAAAATACAGAGTGCAGGAAAGCAAGTAGAGGCATGACATCTTTCGTAATGGGAAGATGTGTAAATGGTAGTAAAACTGAAAAGTTTTACATTTTAAAAGAAGGTGTGAGACCAAGCTATTCAGCTCACACGAAACTGTAATTCTCCAGCATCTGTCATCTTACTAGGAGGTAAACCGGAAGACAGCAAATGCAAAATTTGCATGCTCATGGCCTGGCTCTCAATTAATCCTGTACTGGTTTTGGAGTTTCACTGGCTGTGTGATGAGGTAACTTAAAAGAGTCTATGTTCTCTTTTTTCTTGTTTTTTTTTAACTTTAAAATTGGGCATGTCTCAATGCTGGTACATATGCTTATAGTCAGTTAATTATTGTTAATTTTTAGCAGTGATGTTTTCCTAAGACTGTTGAATGTTGTAAAAGGGGCCAAACTTAAAATGCATGCACTTCTGTAGTGCATAAAGTGAAAATGTTTTACTTTGCATTCAAAAAGTTTAAAAATACAGACTAATTTCAAACAATATATTTATGTCAGAATATGTCTTTCAAGAAGAAAACTGTCAAGAATCAAGTGGTCATCTTCCTTCAAGCAATTGCTTAAGAATATAAGGCAGCATGTTACTGTGTATCCCAAATACAAAAATCATATAAATAGTTGAAAATAACTAAACAGCTTACTGCAACGTACTCTGAAAGAGAATAACTATATCTGATATTTTCAGGGTTGTTTGCTGTTATTTAATGTAGAGCAAGAAGACTGATAAAATACTGGATAATAATATCCTGGGTTTTATCTTTACTGAAAAAGAAGATTGATACGAAGAACAGTAACTAGTTCCCTTCCATCTTTTAGTGTAATGTTTGCAGGAGGCTATAGATATTTGGGTGTTTTGATTTGTGACAGGCATTTCCACTTAACATAAGGATATGGTCTAAATAAATGTATTCATCTTTCCTTGAAGAGGCTTAAGTGATCTCTACAGTTAGTTGGTTCCCTGAGAACAGAGAGCACCCAGCAACTCAAGAGGACTGCTCAATTCCTTTCATGATTTACCCTACCAGTTTTCAGTTACCTTTGACAAAAAGGTAACTACGCTGCATGCCACAGCATCAAGGAAAAGAAGTACCCACAATGACTTTATAAAATGTACGGTATAACACATGCTCAGCTTTCTTGCTTCTACAGGAATACTTTTTTGACAAAACACCTTATACTATTATGTTTGGACCAGATAAATGTGGAGAAGATTACAAACTACACTTTATCTTCAGACATAAGAATCCTCAAACTGGAGAATATGATGAAAAACATGCAAGACGTCCTGACGTAGACCTAAAAAAATTCTACTTGGACAAGAAGACGCATCTATATACTCTTGGTATTGTTTAATTCTTATAGGCTTAAATTGGAAAGGGGAGATTAAAAATGTATTTCTGTCCACTGAAGCTTTGTATTTGAGTCTGCTTTTTTGGTTGTAATAGTCTGTTAATTCTGAGGGGTGGTTGATTAATCATTTGGGCTTAAGTGATTTAATAAGTGGACTTAAATGATTTAATGTCTGAGCTTAACTGCAGGACATAAAAGTGGCTTTGAAATGCTGCTGTTTAGTATTCAATTACAGGAAAAAACATATCAGCCCTGGCCGGACTTTAGCGTGAAGAATTGATTAATGCTTTTGGTACTTACTATGATAAAAATATTTTTATTAAAGATATTAAAAACCCCACAACCATCCAATATTCTAGGAAGGCATCAGAGTTCACAGGAATTCAGTTAAATCTGCAGCGTGCTGCACACAACTCTCCTCCACAGGTTAAAAGTTCTCATTAACACCTGCATGTGCAGCAGTGTGCGTAAACAGATGTTACTGCAGTCTCTGAATGAATATGGGCTGGTTTTAATTCATGTGACATCTCTTTCTGTACCAATGAACAGTATAGCAGAGATGAAAGTTTAATTCCTTAGTTCTTTTTTCCCCCCTTTTTCTAATTTCTGAGGAAGAATAAATAAGCAGAGAAGAATGGGCTAATCTGTGGCATACTGCAAATCCAGCAAAATTGACTGCGCTTTGGAACTTCCATTGAATAATAATGGAAGGCAGGTTCAACTGCTGTGCTGTGGTCAAACTTACTGTTCTTTAAAATAAATTACCGAAGCGTGCCATAGCATACTTTCACTGTTAGATAACAGGAGTAAGTGAAACCAAACACGCTTCCTGTGGTAAAGGAATGCGCGTGTTCCTGTATTTGGGCTGCTCGTTAGAAATTACGATTAAAGATATTTAAACTCGAATTGTTATAATTGTTTAAATAGACTCCATAGAGCTGTATGATTCTAATACATTATGTGACTGATAACATAAGTTTAAAGAACAATTTTTTGTATTGTATCTAAAGTGAGATGGGGGTTAATTTTTGTATTGATGGATATCTTAATACTGTTGAAAACTTATTCTGCAAAGGCTTCATTAGATATTGGCAAACTGTCATTGCAAGACTGTTACCCAGTGTAATAGGTGTTTTCATCACCTATTTTTATAAAATTGTCATAAAAGTGGAATAGTATTTAATTTGAATTAATCTTTGTTGTGTTGAACGGACATTTGAATATACTTGTTAAGCACTTATAAATGTGCTCACTGGTTGTTAGAAATGGATCTGGATACATCATCTTTTACTGAGACTGATACTGCTCCGTTCTGTGACCATGGCTTCTCAGTTACTTACGCTTGCTAAAATACTTTAACATTCAAAGAGAAATTTCTGCATTCGCAGCCTGGCATTTGAGGGAAATGGCTGTCAGATTTGAATCAGAAAATATTGCCTTGATGATCCTTCGGCCGTGTTACCGACACAGTTATTGTGTTTCCGTGCTTTCAGGGGTGAAATTGTAATTTGGTAGCAGAGATGCCTTTTGGGGCAGAGATTTGTCTGTCTTTGTCTGTGTTTAAAAAAAAAAAAAAAAAACAGAATTTTGACCAAGTGGTAGGTTTTTGAAAAATCTGTTAGAATGTGCTTGGATGTGTTTCAGCAATTGAATTTGCTAGAGGTTTCATTTTGGAGGCCTGATACTGGTCCTACATCCCCACAGTAGCAACTTAAATGTTTTGTGTCCAGATCCAGTACCTGGGTGGGGAGTCTGTCTCCTGCTGTGCTAGTGAGGATCCTGTTTGCAGTTACTTGTCTAAGTCTGTGCTTATTATATAGGTTTCAGTTAAAGATATTTGTAAAATGAATGCTTCCCTTATTTATTTAATACAAATTTCTTCAATTTAGTGCTAAAACCAGATGATACATTTGAAATGTTAATTGACCAATCGGTTGTCAGTAAAGGAAGTCTTCTTGAGGATGTGGTTCCTCCGGTAAACCCTCCCAAAGAAATAGAGGATCCTAGTGATAAGAAGCCTGATGATTGGGACGAGAGACCAAAAATACCTGATCCAAACGCTGTTAAACCAGATGACTGGTAAGGAGAACATTTTTATCTGTACAATACCTTTTACATGCAGGTTTTTCATTTGAAAGATTTGACTGGTTTTATTTTGTTTTTTGGTAACAACAGTTAGGAGATGTTTCGCTACTAAAAGCGCTGAAGTTTGAAAACATAATTGAGCTGAGTACAAGGATCTGGTCATCATCTAAGGAAAGAAATAATTGTGCTTTTTGTTGATTTTTGCCCTCCATGGCTGCAATTAATAACTAAGATTACTATACCTGAAAGATTAGGGAGAGGAGGTGTTTTTTTACCATATGGTCTTAATTTGCGTTCAATGATTTTTGACTTCCTTCTGTGTGAACTACTGTTCACGTGGCAATGCAGGAAGAGGAGAGAAAAACTGAATGGGAAGACCTGCCAGTTGATGGCAGCAATTTCTGGGCTAAGTAGTACTTTGAAACAATGTAAATATAATTCAAATATTTATAAACAGGTGGATGTCAGATTCTCATGATCAGTGTGTCTAATTCTGTTGTGCTTTTGAAAATAATCGCTTTCATGCCAGTTTCAGTCCTCTGAACAGAACATTGGTTCAATGTTAGGCTGCTGCGTTTTCTAACGTAAGTCTGTAATTGAAGGGATGAAGATGAGCCTTCCAAAATAGCAGATCCTGATGCTGTTAAGCCCGAGGGATGGCTTGATGATGAACCACAGTATGTTCCAGACCCTAATGCAAAAAAACCAAAGGACTGGTAAGAACTTGATCAATAAGTGCAGGTTGTTAATGTGTCCTGTAGATGAGCCTACCTATTCTTTGTGGCAAATCATGAGTTGTGGATCAGTAGTCAATCCAAATCTCATTGTCTTTTGAGGTACTAAGTTGGAATGTGTTTATGGCCAAATATCAGTTGTTTCCAGGGGGCTACTTTTAGAAAAACATGAACATGTTAATTACCTCTTGTTTCCTGAAGATACATAAACAAAAACAGACTAGGAAGGACTCCTTTGAAAGAATTTGCTACAGTGTTAAACCATGAAACAGTTTAAGTTGATAACTGGAAATCATCATATAGTCTCAGACGGATCTCTCAGCATCTTATGGAGAAGTGTTTCAGGCTGTCTGAAGATGCAGGAATATAATTGTGTTCAGTTGTGCTGTGGTAGTTATGAACATGTGATCTTTAAAAAAAAAAAAAGGGTGTAGCACTCCTTAAAAAAAAAAGTGTTTACACAGGTTGGGTAGAGTTCTGTGAGCTGGTCAAAATTCTGAGGCTGTTAAAGCAAAATGTGTATGGACCCTAACTTTAGACTGACTGCTAGTTTTCAGACCAGTCTGATCTCAAATCAGTTGTTTGGTTTTTTGGTTTTTTTTCTGAAGGGATGAAGAAATGGATGGGGAGTGGGAAGCCCCTCAGATCCCTAATCCAAAGTGCGAGACCGCACCTGGTTGTGGACACTGGGTGCGTCCCATGAAGAACAACCCAAACTATAAAGGAAAATGGAAAGCACCTATGATAGATAATCCTAACTATCAGGTAATAGCAATATTGTAGGTTGTTGTAAAAAGGTACAGAGTTCATGTCAAGGTAGTATATTTGTCTAGGCCTTTTTACAGTTTATTCATATTTTAGAATGAGTCTGTATACCCTCACTAAACATTTTGAGCTTGTTTGTATTTAATTTGTGCTTTTTTTTTTAATTGTGGAAAAGAGAAATGCTTCCTGTATTAAAACAATTCCTCTGTTAAAAGTTGCTTTTGCAATGATTTGCACTGGTACCACTTATTTAATATGCACTGAATTACATTATCATTTAATGAAATATTTCTTTCTTTTGTTGGGGTTTTAAGTGTGGGTCTTTTAAATGAACTTTTTTTTTTAATTAAAAAATGAAACCTTTCAGTAATCAGTTCAATTTTAGTGGAAGCATCAATTTTGGATAATTAAATTCCCCTCCTCCCCTCCAGATAAAAGAGGTAATCAGTTGGATGTTAAAGAGAGTTAGTTTGTATTAATTATGGCTGGGGAGTACTTGAAGCTTATTTCTTTGAGCTTAAGATCCTAAGCACATTTGTAAACAAAATTTGGCTCTAATTTGAACACGTATCATAAGGCTGAATGTTCCTTCCCTAAAATTTTTCCCTAACAATTCAGGTTACAGTGTCTGTCAGTTTTTGTTTTTTTTTTATACTGGAAGGGACCGTGTGGATCATGGGCTGTAGTTCCCCTGCAGTCTTAGGCCACCAAAGAATAGATGCTTATCTCAGAAGATGTCATCACTGGCCACAAAATACTGACCAGTGCCCTTACAAAAATGTATATGCTATATTGATGAACAAAAGCCAAAATTATACATTGCGTAAGGAGAGACTAGAGGAAGAAGTAATACAAATGTCTTATTTTCCTAGACTTACTCTAGGAAGTTTACAAAGACTGTGCTTGGAATCACCAGTACCAGGAAGAATGGAGATACTTTGTACAGTCAGTTATTACTGTAACCCTATATGGACAAAAAAAATTATTTGAAGTGGTCTGCCCTAAGCCGGAAAATTGAGACCTGTCTGCCAAAATCCTATAGGCTATTTCCAGTTCTGGTTTTATGTAGGTTAAACTCTACTGCTTGTCTTTTTAAGTAATGCATTTGAAATAGTTGGGAAGTTCTAATGATTTCAAAATTTGTTTCACAGTTTGTTTTTCAGTGAGGTATAGCTAGTGGTGTTACTTTTTTTTTTTTTTCTCCTTAAAAGGGTATCTGGAGCCCTCGGAAAATACCGAACCCAGACTATTTTGAAGATCTTCACCCATTCAGGATGACTACAGTCAGTGCTATTGGTTTAGAACTCTGGTCTATGACGTCTGATATCTACTTTGATAACTTCATTATATGTTCAGAAAAAGAAGTAGCAGATCGTTGGGCAGCAGATGGCTGGGGCTTGAAGAAATTAGTAGCAAGTGCTAACGAGGTATAAACTTTACTATGTTCTTGATAGCCAAAAGTAGTGAGGAAGGTGTGTTGTTGGACGCGTTTTGTGTCAGTTAATGCTGACAGAATATTAATTTGCTTGCAATTAATAATTGCGCTGAGTAACTATGATACTTGTAGTTCGGCTTTTTACCTTTCCCAGATCAATATCCTCTTGAAATTAAAAGGGTACAACATTTTTACCTAAACACCTAGCAAGAAATTGGCTTCATTATAGTTATTGTCTTCTGCTGTTCCCAGTGCTACTAGAAATTCAGTACCTGTCAGCAAATGGAAGCTGAGTTACTTACACTCAAAGACTTCTTTTTTTTTTTTTTTCCTTTTCAGTTATGGCTGACTTGATTACATATGTTCTTTAGATGTTTCCCATGAGGAATGGATAAATAGTCCTGCGTTTTTTTCCGTTTAACAATTTTAGGTCTTTGGCTGCTTAGATGCGTGTTACACAGCTCTGAAAATAGCGCATGTATGTTTATAGAGCTGCATCTGTTCTGTTTCTGTGTGTGCATTTGCATTTTGTTGCTGTACTGCACTTTGCCAGCCGCCAGTTTTTTCTAAATCTCTTTCCTGTCCTGTGGGATGAACTTGTCCTGACATATGGGATTGTGAGCCCCTCTAGTGGCTGCCTTTACTGACTACAGTTTCTTTCTAACAGTCCTATATTTTCTTTGAGTGGCGAGAGCAGGCCTGCAGTTGTGGGAAAGAAACGATGGTGGCCAATTCCTGACAACTTCTGTTTAGCACAGGATGAGCAAGTAGCAGCAGCATATCTGCCCATGCAATTAGGAAAGCCACCTCCTCCCACAACCTTGCCCTTTCTGAAATGTTTGGGTTTATGTCTGGACCTGCATCTATACCTGTACACACAATAGCAAAAAATATTCCCTTGAGTCCCTTATCTCCACTGTGCCTCTCAAACATTCTGCTTTAGTTGTGATGTACCTTTTCCAGAGGTCTTGCTGTACCAGGCACTTGTCTACCTACCTCTGCTGTAGAAGTCAGAACTGGGCTGGGTGGACAATTTACTCCCTCAATAATTGGCTGTCAAAGGAGAGAATGTGGTAGGACAGGTGAAGCAGGACATTGCTCTTCGGAGGCTGGCTGCTGTTCTGAGGTTCTTGATGCTTTGGGAGCTTTCAGCTGAGTTAGCACAGCATGGGGGAAAAAACAGAGTAGCTCCAAAATGTTGCTTTACAAAATTGAGTAGTGGCCAGCCAAGTATGTTTGGAGTATCAGGTTGGTTCCTTCTTACTTAACACCTGCTATTTATTTGCAAACTGTTGTTACTTCACCAATATTGAAATCCAATATTGTTTTAGTCATTAAAAAGCAAAGGTAAAGAAAGGCTTTCTTTGGGCAACATAAAGTTTAAAATACATACAGTGCACTTGCTAAACTTATTGAAGTGTTGAGAGGGATGCAAATGCAATTTTTTTTAATTTTGTTTTTAATATAGCCTGGTATGTTTAGTCAACTGGTGACTGCTGCAGAAGACCACCCATGGCTCTGGGTTCTTTACATCTTGACTTTAGCTCTCCCTGTTGGTCTAGGTGTGTTGTTCTGCTGGCCAGCAAAGGTTAGAGAAATTTACTATACTTTTATTTGGTTTTATTCTTAATACTTTATTTGAAAACTCTTAACATCTGTGCAACAATATGCACTTTTCATGTGCCATTGATGTTACTTAGCTTATAGTGGCTGTTGTGTTTAATTCTTAATTTGAGTTTAAATGTAAATTGATTTTAAATTTGTTGTAGAAAACAGATGAAGATATTGACCTAAAAAAAATGGATGTATCTAACTCAATTACAAAGGGAGAACTAAAACAAGAGAGAGAGGAGTTAGAAGATGATGAAATAGAATTAGAAGAAAAAGAAAACGAAGACACTGTTGAAGGTGGTAAGATGAGCAAGCCAGCTTTCAGCTTGATTAAATATAAAGACATGAATAGGACTAGTTCATGCATTGCCTTGCCAATAATGACAACCAGTTACCTTAGAATATGCAAAACCTGCCTTGCCCTGAGTCATCTTTTTGATAACCTCCAGTGAGTGGCATTCCATGGCTAATAGCTTGTTGATAAACACAAGCAGAAAGTAAGGCTCTCCTCAGTATTTTTTCACTTTCAAGAAATTAACATGCTTCTGACAGGTTTTTTTTGTTTGTAGACAGTGATGCATATTTTCTCCCTTCTGAATATTTCATATCTTGAACACATTTTAATGGTTCAGGTATATGTACCTGAAGTGGTTAGTCACATTGTTGTCTTTAAAATATGTCTGGAATAGCTTTAAGTCTTTAATGTAACTCTTTCTGCTTACTCCTCTTTGGTAGGGTTGTACCTTGACCTATTCTGTTGGTCACTGATTTTAGTAACTCCTGTTTAAAGCCTGACAACACAGTAGACTTGAAATACTGAGGTCTGCTTCCTTTGCGTTGCTTTCTAGCAATGCATTGCGTGCCTGCAGAGCTCTGTCCTGCTGCCCCAAGGGAGAAATCAATGATTCAGTAGGTTGAGCTATACTTTGGCATCTAAGGATAAAATCATCTTGTGTTGCTGTATCAAAGATTACCGCTACTATTTAACTATGGCTTTGATGTTCTGTTAGCATTTCCCTGAGTCTATAGTAATGAATAAAAAGCAAATCACCTAACTCACAGTGTATTATCGTGACTTCCTTTGAGAAAATCCTTAGCCTCAGACCTCTGCAAGATTCTGCCTCTTCCTTGGTAGGAAAAAGAAAGTGGTAAGTGACTGGCATGGAAAGTTAGAAACCTAACAGATATTTGTGGGTTGTTTTTTTTCTTAGGACTGAGATCACTTTGTATTACTGACTGAAACTTTGTGTGTTTTGTCTGTCTCTGCACTATGTTCGCTGAGTGTTGATGGCTTCTGCCTATATTGAGTACATGGTTAGCACAATGCTTGCCACACCAAACTTAGTCCATCTGCCTTATCATTCGACAGCCTTACCTAGTCGTTTAATTATTTTAGTTGAGCTACGTGTATTTTTTACACTAGCATAAATTGTAGGTACAGCATTTCAGCATTTTATCTTCCTACATTTTCCTTTTGATCTTACCCTACTTTACCTGCTCTTTGCTCCTGAATTACAGAATCTGGGTTGGTTTTTTTTACCCAGTCTTGATGCAGATCATAGATATGTTTTTGTACCTGATATGCTACTGTTGCAAAGCTGTCTGAGATACCTGAATTCCAATATTCTTCTGTTAAATCAGTTAATTTAGTAAATTACAACACATCACTTAATAATATGTTAAAATTTGTGTTTGAATGTTAGAAATAAGGCAATCGCAGAGGAACACTGTTTAGCTCCTAAAAAGAATTCCACTTGGAACAGCTGTTCGTGATGTTTTAAAAGTAGATTCAATTTTAGACCTTTACTACTAGTTACTAAACTGAACACAGTAAAACTAACATAGTTAGCTTTTGTATGACTGTTCCAAGGTTTTCAAGTAAATTCTGGGCTTCAGAGGGAAGGGTTATACTTTGCTGTCATATGACTTCCTGGTTTCTCTTTCTTTAAGAAGAATTGCTTGGCTTCCCGTCACCTTTCACATTTGCAGATTGAAATTTTCCCTTTCTTTCTGTCACTTTTTTGCTTCTTCATATCTGAAAGCATTAGAAAATTTGTCTTCTGCCACCTCCTGCTGATTCTTTTTCCTACAGAGAGAAGAGAAGTGGAGGAGACAAAAAGAGAGCTTATAAAGGAGACGAAGATGGGAAGTGAGGCTCTTCCTTCAGGTACTGAGAAAGGGAAGTAACTTGGGTCAGGACTTGAAAATGGTCTCTCCTTTCTGTTTTTTCCCCCTCTGCTTCCTTGTTGATTATAGAACTTCAAGCTGGTGGATGCCAGCTTTCATCAGATACGGATATGAGTTTCCTCTGAGACTTCTCAGTATGGTATCTGTAGTCATAAATATTTTCTGTTAGTTTTTTTGGATCCTAATTTTTACAATTCCTTTATAGTCATTATCTGCTGCTTTGTTTTCTGGAGTTGAAGGAAATGGGGTTTGAGCTGTGGAATGACTTGAGATCCACGTTTTTGTCATGAGGCTGTTAGAAAAAGCATGGCACAATAGCAAATTTCAGAAACACTTGTAGATGTCTTTGGCTCCAGTGAGAATGAGTTGCTGGCAGATTGCTTCTTGAAGGGCATTGTCCATGGGATTTACCGTTTTGGTTTGTTCTATGTAAATTTTTTTTGGCATTGCTAAAGGATGAGATGTTCTTGACTTGTCTACTCATCTGCTTTGTCTCCTTGCTTTACTTGCCCTCTAGAAAAATATTCCAAGAAGTAAAAGAATGTTGCCAAGAAATGGAATTTCACGGGCACAGTCTGAACCTTATTTCTGAAGTTATACATTCATTTATATGAAATACTGTTTAAATTAATATTAGACTAAATTAAAATTAATAATTTTAAATACTATAGTTGTCCAGTTCTGGCTTTTACTACTTCTGATGTCCGAAGCGTTTTGGTTTGGTTTTTCCCCTCTATTGAAATTAGTACTTATGGGAGGGGCTGGATTTGCATCATTTAAAATTTGTAATCTCTTCATTAGAATATGAGCAGAGGCTTTGGGAATCTTTACTAAGCTCTTCTGTTACAGGTTTATTTTTAGAACAGAAATCTTCGTCTACATCTATCTTAAACTATGATCTCCATTTTTTTTGTCTTATTTCTCCTTTTGATAACAATAGTAGAGACATATTGTAGACGTGTATCAGGTATATTTACAGATGGGAAAACTAATTTCTTAGAGCTTCGCTAATTGTTACGAACTGTTTGGTTCAACTTATAGCTATACTGTAGGCAAAGCTTTTTGTACTCCTACAGAAGTCTCAAATATTGTAATAAATTAGGGTTTTCTAGATATTCATCACCAAGAATCAGGAGAGTTGCATCTTCTGTGGGACTAGCATCTGAATTTATATGGTTACTTTTGCTTCAGTTTTACTGAGCTGAAACAGTAAGACTTGGGGGGTGGGGGTTGGCTTTTGGTTTTGGTTTTTTTAACACTGAAGTAGTGCTTACGAGATGCAGGCATGACCTGACAAGGATAGAATTGAGCACTGCTTCATTACTGTTTTTAACCAAGCCACTGGCAGACTGTTAAGTTGTAGAATGCCATCTTATATCCTTTCTATCAGATTTAGATAGGATTTCTTGTTTACTCTTGATAGAAAGTATTGCAAAGGGTACTCAATATCTAGAAATTCTCACTTCAAGACCTCAGTTTGAAGTGAAGGAAGAGACTTGCTAAACTCCAGTAACTTTTATTTGAATCATACTGTGGTTGCTGAAGTTTAGCTCTTATAATGAGCACAGATACCTAAAATGCAGGCATGGGAGTGCCAGCTTCTAAGTACTGAAGCCCCAAGAGGAAATCAAAACAGTAGGGTGCCTGGCCTCCTTCACAAAATATGCAGAATATAGAGAGTTGGTTACCCAACTAGAAGGGCAACCTACATGCTGATCAGAGAGCAGCCTAGAATTCACAGTATTTGGTGCATGCACTGCTCTTTAGTGCAGTGACATGACCTCAGTAAGAATGTAGAAACTGCTTCTGTGTTGCTTAGCATATTGTTTGTCCAGGGAATTCTGGAGAGTAAAAAGGTGCTTTTTTTTAGATTATTTTTTTTTCCCTCCAGTCCCTGTCAGTTCAAAGATCAAACTGACACCAGGTCTTATAGAAAGCTTACTGCTTTTTGTGAATAGTTTTATCCTAGTAGTGTAAGCTGGACATACTTTGAGTGAGCTGAGGGGAATACAATGTTTTTCTGACTAGATTCTGCATTGCAATAATGCATAAGAAGGGGTAAGCACAGAGCTGCTTATCCCTCAACTAAAATAGCATGCTAAAAGAATTCCCTACTGAAAAGAGGAGGTAGGCATCCCCCATGGTGTATGACTGATAACTGCAATATTGTACTTTGCTAAGTCAGAATTTAGTCAGATTTGGGATACCTGAGTTGTCCTATTTTGGACTCCGGTCTCAAAACTGTCTAATACACTATTTAGATGTAAAGACTTCCCTAAAGGAAGCCAACTTAAGGTCGTCATTTTAGTTGGTCACTTACAAGTCTGAAGAGAGTATGTGCTATTGTGAAAAGAGGTTAGGCTGAAGCTGTTAAAACTGGTTATTAAATCTGATAGTGATAAATTTCGACTAATTCATGAGAATACTACTCTCTGTATCACAGAGATGTTTTTATGTGTTATTGTAAACAAGCAGTTCATTCTAAGACTGAAATTGGCTTCTTTTCCTTACTAGTGTGTCTAGATATAGTGCACTTTTAATATAGTTCTATTTGCAAAGTAAAATTAATTTCTTCTGCAGAAGATGAGGGTGAAGGTGCTGAAGATATTGATGATGAAGAAGGTGAAGTTGCAGATGGAAGTCAAGAAGAAGGTGATAAGTCAAATAAATCTGGTTCAGAAGATGAAGTAAGTTTGATTATTTTATCATCCCCCCCCATTTTCTCTTGCTCTTGTCTGACATCACACTTCTAAGTCCAGTTACCTACAACATGAGTTTTTCTTCTGTTGAGGCATAAAACAAATCATGAGGTGGGGTTGTGTTTTTATGAGAGTTTGTCACCTCAAATGCTCTCTATAGGTTGGTGAAACATGTCTCTTCATATGTGATTTTGGCTAGGAGGTGATATTTATTGTAAAATACAGGTATAGTATAGAGGTGATCATGCAGGTCTCTAAACATGAAATGTTTTTACAGGTGTATGCTTTTTAACAGGTTATTAAATGAATTGCAAGTCTTGAAAATTTTGATGTTGCAGTAGATGTCAGTCTCTTTTTATCGTGCTACTTAATTGATGGAACTTGTGCTTCTAACTGAATAACCTTTCAGTGAGACCTAGAAAAACCTTAAGCTTTGTTTTCTTTTTTTTTTTTTTATTCCAAAATAAGGTTTTAAGCAAAACGACCATACTGGTTTTGAATTCAGCACCTGCAGTTTCATTTTTCTTGTGCAGATTAATGCAGTCACCAGCTAATCTAGACAATGTTTTTCAGAAAATAACATTGTAGAATGGAATTTGTGTGTGCATTTCTTGTCAACTACTCATTATCTTTTCATTTAGGAACTCTGGTATGTCCAAAGCGCTTTAGATCCACCCACAGTATTTCTGTTGGCCATTTTGTAGTTGTCACTCCCTGAATGAGTCCCTTCCCAGATTAAGGGAGTTCTTTAATGTTAACTACTTTTCTTATAAACTCCTCTAGGAAACTGTACCCAGCATGAGGTTACATTGTTTCAGCACTGAAATTCGTCATTAATTATTCCTTATTCAGTACTTCCTCTTGTTCCTGCAAGAAGGTGTAGGTGTTTTTCCTTATACATTTACCTACAAATACAGTATCTGATGAATAACAAGACCTGAATTTAAGAATAGCTGGTTCTATTTGTAGCTGTCCAAAGGCAGCAACTAGAATGTTTTAAGTGCTTCTTGATTAAGAAGTGGAAATTAAAGTTAGCATAAGATGCACTTCAAGGAAGTTGCTAAATTCATTAAAAAGTCACCGGTTTTAAACCAGTGAGCAAATGGGCAAAACCAAATTTCTGACATAATTTTGGGTGAACTACTCTCTTTCTTCTGAACGTAGAAAGGAAAAGTCTTCTAACCACTTTATTCTTAGATGAGTATTGGGGGGGAAAAAATGTTGTATCACTTAAGTGCTGCATTTAGTGATAATATGATTGGGGCATTGGGAGGAGGAATAAAGTAACATGCCAGTTTCAATAATTAAAGAATTAAAATTGGTTTAAAATTATAATGCTGAATTTTTTTTTTATTTTTTTTTTCAGATGAAAGAAGCTGATGAAAGCACAGGTTCTGGAGATGGTCCACTGAAATCAGTGCGCAAAAGAAGAGTACGAAAGGACTGAGTTACTTCCAGCTAGTATTTGTAGGTCTAGATAATAGTAACTTCTGTTATGCCCCTTCAGTGGGCCTGACAACATGCAAGTTCCTGAGATTTGAAGGAAAAGGGGGACTCATTGCTACTTAACCACCTCCTATTTTAATTCTCTAACCTCTTTTAACCTTCCCAAACTTCCTTGATTCCCTTTTTTAAGGAGAAATACTATCTGTGAGGAGTTAGCTGATGTTGCAAATTCAGAATAAAAGTGAAATTACAAGTTGGTCAGCTGATTTTAAGGTGAAGATTCTTAATTGAAGATTATTCTATGATTCCTAGAAATTAGCGTTAGTTAGAGATAAACTTATTTAAATATTTTTAAAACATGAATAAATTATATTTTTGCAGCTCTAGCACAGAATTAGCTGTTTACACTTTTCAGCTAGAAGAGGATGATAGTATAGATGTAGCATCTATAGCAGTTCACGTTGCTATGAGAAAAGGTTTTTTTTTTCTGTGCAGAGCTGAATGCAATAATTGTTTTTGTATGATGATTTAGTGCTAGCAACAATTTTTATTGTAAATTATTTATTTTAGTTGATCTTGTTACATGAGTGGTCACCTGTTCACTTCAAGCATTGGTTACAGTAATTTATTTTGAAGAGATATTTTAAAATAGAATACTCATAGAACAAGTGGGAATTGATGTGACTTGTTTTACTTTTGAATGCAGATATCAAATCTGCAGAAGTGATATACAGATGATTTTTTCAAACTTTTATAGTTCTCATGTTGCAAGCCAGAGTGATATGACCTCTGTTTATAGAATACTTGCTAAGTGTACATTGCCTCCTAAAAATATTTAATAATTCTTGCTTAACATGAAATTTATTAATATAGATAAGAATTTTTGATGGCTTAAGTTTTTTACAGATGTGAGTAACTGGGCATTCTCATAATATAGTTTAAATAAACTGCATATTGTAAAAGAAACTTTGTTTTGTTAAAGTTCAGCTGTATAGTAAAACAAACAATAAACTGCAGTCACCAGAAACCTCTTGCTGCTTGGCAGCTGCCTGTAATATTAGTAGGATGTAAAATGCCAGCAAAAGCAGTCATACATTAAAAACAAGTCAAAATATGTTAATTCATAAGGAACCTAACAGATTTCCTTGTGCCTAGCAAGAAGCTAGTTCTCTTAAAAAGGAAGTATTTTTACAGCAAATCAAGTCAGCAGAGATTCTGTGGAAGTCTCTAACAAATGAATGCTTAATTAACCCTAATGAAGAAGCCATTGTCTTTAAGTGCTTGTGTTGAAGTGTTCAAAAGTTAATTATATTGGACTCTATTTTGTGTGACCTACGTGGAAAGGCCCCTCGTTTTTTGTTTGGGGTTTTTTTTAAATGCAAGTTCGCTCTTTCTTTAGGGTCTACATGCAAAAGGTAAGAAGCGAAGACTCCAGTTTCTTCCTCCTGCCTGTCTTTTCAGCAGTAGATAGAAGTTATCAATGTGGTATCCTGCTAGTAACAGCTACTGTGAGCTGTTAGGGAGCATTTCAGCACTCCTTTTGAATGGATCTTGTCTGTTCCTGTTAAAAGTCCTTTGGAATTGTTACAGCATTTGGGTGTTAGGTGTGGTTTGGGAGTTGGTTTTTGTTGGGTTTGGGATGTTTTGGTTTTGTTTGGTGGGATCTAGTTACTCCAGGGATTGGTTACCCCACAGAGAATACTAGTCTTCCCTTAGGGTTTGAACTTAAGGTTCCCATGAAGTCTCAATTAATGTCCTATCAACATCTCTGCTTGTACCTCACTTCAGTAAATAAGAAGCCACTTATTATGGGTGAAATGGTCTTGTGAGGCCATGACTTAAGGGTACTGTTTGCAGTAATACTGATGCTAAGGCCTATCTTGCTTTAATACTGGCTTAATGACTTTGATTACCTGGAACTTGGAGATAGAAGACATCCTTCTGCACATCAACTTACTTGGATCTAGTCTTATGCTAGTAATTAGGGGAGAAATATCAGAGCTTTGGGGATTTGAGACTGTAGATCTAGAAAGCCAGGCAAGAGAAGAACCACTCTCTGACACTTGCAACATGGAGATTTCAGCCACAGTTCCTGCACATAGTTCATTTATACCTGTTCAGATATTTCAGGAAAAATACTTGATCTTGCTATCACAGCTGCTTGGAAGTGCTTTGAAATTAACAAACTAATGATAATCCCATTCCAGGATGCCTTGCTATTAAAACTGCCCATCACCTTCTTAAGTATCAGGCCTCAGGAGCCTGCACTCCCACAGGCTACATCGTAGCTTTGTAAAAGTGGCCTTAGGGAGGAAGCCAAATCCCTGACTCTGAATTTTCAATATTCAGGGGAGGCTAAGTAGGACTATGGCCTTTTTATTTAATTACAACTGAAGCTACTCCTCAGTTAGCTTCTACCTTCATGAACGTATTGTGAAGTAATAATTCTGGTTTGTCTCATATGGAGCTCATTACCTGGGTAGGAAAAGGTAAAATCTTTTCTAACTTGGCTCAAAGCTCTCCCATGTGGACAGGTGCCAGTTTTGGCATTGACAGCACTGGATGCAGTCTACCAATCCTTTTTCCTTTAGCCAGAACAGAACAGAATACAGAAATGTAAGATTCATGGGTGAAAATATCAACTGAGTCAGGAACTGGAAGCTTGCTGAAAATAGATTAATTAAGCCTGGGTTTAATCTTAATACTTGCTGGTTACATCTAGTCTTTCAGAAACTTCAGCTATGTAGAAACAATTAAGATGATAGTTACGAGAGGTTTTAGGGTTTACAAATGTTAAACCAAACTGAGACAAATCAAAAGTGTTTATTTAGTGTAAAGTCAGAAATACAACATCTTTAAAATGTTCATAAGTTAAACGAAGGCCACAGTAGTGGGATGTAAAATGGCATATAGATGAAATGACTACTATATACACACTGATGGATAAAATACCACTATCCAATCTTACAATACTAAACCATGATTTTAAGATAACTTGATCTCGGGAAATTGCTGAAGTCTAACAAGCGCATGCTCTGTTACCACTTGATCTCCTACAGTGCAGATGGAGATGTGCAGTGATGTGGCTGGAATGCAATGCAATCTTTAGAATTCAAGTGCTTGGTGGGATTGTTGATTTTTTTTTTTAATGCTCAAACCCTGGACTAACCATGTGATCTCCTCTACCTGCTAGCAAGTCTTCAATGAATTTAGCATTCAAGATAGGCAGTAAAGTGAGAGAGTAGTCCACAGAAGATTCAAAATTATTGTTAATGTTTACAGGACCCCATGACACAAATAGTATCAGCCATTTGAGCCTTGGTGGGTAAAACTTTTTTCATCATCATGTTTCTCGACTCAGACTTGTAAACAGCCCTCGAGACTGATCTATTAGTGCTGTGTTTGCAATCATTTGACTTTGACGCTCCAGTGAGTGCTGTACAGCCATTGTAAATGGGGAGAAATAGGAGACCTCTCCTTTGGGATGGGGGAACCTCACAATCTCAGCTTACACTTGATACACAGTAGTGCTTAGCTGCCAAGAAACTTGGGGTTTGAGAAGGATTTATTCTACTATTACATCCACTCATTCAGTTCATGCAGCTTTATTTTATAGAATTCATCACAGCGAGGTTGAAAGAGATCCTTGAACTAGTGGTTTCCTTTTGTTAAAAGGTAAAGTATGATGGCTTCATTACCGAAGAGGTTCTAGGTAACATCCACAAATAAGACTGCAATGCTGCTGTATGGCAAGACGAAACAGATGCAACCGAGTACTGCTAAAACTTACATTGTCGTTTGTTTTCAGCTTCTGCTCTCCCTTAATACTGATTATGCTAGACGTGCTGCTTCTGTAGGCAGTACTCAAGACCTGTAATGAGGGCTGAGATCGTTTACAAACCCTGCTAACTGACGGCCAAGCCAGTAAAAAGCAAGGCATCTTGACACTAGGCATCACTTAGAGCAGCTCAGATTTGAGGGGCAAAAGCCACCCTTGTTCCGCTGTGGTTTTCTGCCTTAGATGTTTGCGTGCAGTGCCTCCAGAGGTCCTTCGCAAGCTCAGGCGCTGGGGCAGGAAAACGGTTGCTCTAAGGCCTGAAGCAAAGACAAGTTTGGCACTTCAGGAGGAAAGTAAAAGGTGGCAAGGAATGACTTGTTCTCAGTTCCTCACTGCAGATTGTTCACAATGAGCGTGAGGAACACTGTTGACCACCTGTTTCTGTAAAGCTTATTACTCTGTTTTTTATTTAACTCCTCATCACACAACTGAAAAACTTCTGGAAGATCATACATTTTGATGCTGTCCCTGATCATCATTCTTTGAGGAAACAGAGTGAAAATGGTTTGAAGTGTACACCTCACAAACTACAACCACTCTGATGATACTGCATCAGTTTGGTAGTTCCCTCATTAAGTTGTTTATCCTTGGTCCTATTCCCTTACCCTCCTCGTTCCCAAAAAAACTTAAGTGTTTTTCTATATCTAAGCCCTGCAAATAATGTCATACCATTATTACTTCATAGAGATTCCTAACTGGTTTATAGGGTTTTGTTTAAAGTTGCTTTGCAGAGCTAAGGACAGTAATATATAGTAATCTAAATATATTTGAGGTGGAAAAGGTGATGCAATTAGACTTTGAATATTTTTTTCAAATGAGGTTTCAACACAATATAACTGTATTATTTTGCTAGTCAAGAAACTACCCCAAGACCTCAAAGAGTGCCAACAGACTTTTGTTTAACCTGACAAACTGAATCCAATTTTTAACAAGATATGCTCGTTTTTAAAACAAAGATGAAAGGTTAGTAAGTCTCTACACTACATTTGCACATTGCTTAATCTTAACAATACACAAACTTATGTCTCCTGTTCATGATAATGTTCCTAATTCTGTTTGTCACCAAAGTTTATAATCTTCAGGTATCCAGCAAAGCCACAAACTAAGGTACTTTAGCTCATGTAGCCTATGCCAATTAAAACAAAAAAAGACAGCAGCAATACAATGACATCATCTCTGAGTCAACCCTTACTTCCTTTTGCTTTTAGTGTCAGTTGTTTGGAAAACACTAGACGCTGACATCAGATTTTCTATATACTGTCCAAGAACTTGGTTTTCTGATTTCAGTTTCAAGTTTTCTTCCTTAACAGCATCTACTCGTGCTGAGAGATCTGCGAAGGTGACATTGTAAAAAAAAATATTAGACACTATTACATACAACAAAAAATGTTCTATGTGCCTACATCAAACTATTCACACTTTTATGGCAATGTTTCCCATGTTAAGGGATTATAAAACCCTGTGCTACTCAAGTTTTATCTGAAGTCCTTTTTTCCTATACTATTTTGTAGTACAGTATTTTGACAAACTTGTTCCATGAACTTATGGTTTGTCTGTATCTCTTTTCTTGAATTTTTGAATTAAGCTATTGCAAACTAAATTATTTGGAAACAAAAGTTCAATGATGACCAGACTGAAAGATGTATGGCAACTAAGGAGCTTGGGAAAATTAGCTTTATCACGTCTTCTGCTTGATGCGTATTACGAGTCTCACATAAACATTATGTTGCATAAAGAGGCAAAAAAATAGTTGAGACCTTACTTATGTACGTTCAACTGCACAAGTGACATACTTCTGGATGCTTTGACTAAGGACAGAAAAGTAAGGTTCTCTTCTTTTGCTTATTATTGTGCACTTGTAAAAAATCTGATGTGTCAAACTGCTAACCTTCAAGTGTGTGCTGCAGTTCCAAAACTTGGTTAATAAGCCGTGTTTTCTCTTCTAATTCCACCTGATTTTCAGCCTCAACAGCTGCAATAAATCATATGAGTTTTAATACAACCTCTGTAACAGCTGGAAATTATATTAAGTAGAAAAAATAACAATGGAGCACGAGAACATTAAGAACTTATACCATCCATGTCGGCATTCATCATTGTAGAATGGGCTCTTTCCACTTTTGGAGGGAGTGTTCCTGAGAGATGCTCTGCTTAAAAGACGAAAAAGAGACAACACTGAGGCAACCGTTAATGTAACTGCATTTATATTTGTATTTTAGATACATTTCTCTAATTGCTGTTGAAAAGCCAGCACTTAAGCCTAAGGCAAAACAACATTTTTTTTAACATTCTTTAATTACTTTCCCTAGAGCCTTATGTGGTACGTAAATAACAAGTGACTATGCTTCAGCTGACAAAAATAACTGATCTAGATTACTCTGTAGTGCATAAAATAACCCTGTGTTTCAATGATGCATTTGCTGCCTTCTCAGCGCCGATCTTTCTGGAAGTGGCTATTACAGAAGCAGAAGGGGCCCCTTCCCTTCCCTTCCCTGGCCGCCCCTCTTCGCCGCTATCACGGGCAACCGTGTCACGGCCAGCGGGCCTGCAGGACGCAGGGACGCGCGTGTTTGCTTCGCGTCCCCCGCCACCCCACCT